TTTAACTACAAAATTTCTTTTTCTTTAGACTGAACATATTACTAAAACATCAAAATCATTGTTCATGAAAATCATTGTTAATGCTCAGAGCACAAGTATCTTTCACAATGCTAAATAATCAAAACCCTTTCATTGTGTCTTGATATTTTTAAAGGCAGCAATGGAGAAGCCAATTCATCATCAACTGTTTGTGACAAGAATTATGCATGACTTTGAAAGTGATACATTTTTTCCAGAAATTGATCTTAAAAAATACAAACTTCTACCTAAGTAAGTATTATATAGACAAAATACTTTGTGTCAACCAAATGTACTCATACTAGCAACACAAAACGTTTCACTGATTTTTCTGTACTGAAGTAAAACTTGAAGAAATACATTTGGTTTAATAGTATTGTAAACAATATTTCATGTTATTTCCAGTTAAATAAGTATTTAACCACCAAATTATTTCTCTTTCAAGTTATACAGGTATCCCTACTGATATCCAGGAAGAGAATGGTATTCAATATAAATTTGAAGTTTATGAAAATACCATCTAGACTTTACTTGATTTGAGCAAAATGCCTCTGTACATCTAACTCTTTTTGCTGAATTAATCAAGACTTTTGTCTGCCTTTCATCCTCTTCAAGAAGAAAAGAAGGTGCTGCTTCCTTCCCGCATTAATCGAAGCTATCTTGAAACAACAAAAAAAGACATTTTCCCAATAGCAACTCTACTGAGAATAGCTGCCTCTGCTGTAAACAAAAAAGATTTATTTGAAAATATGCTGCTGAAAATCAGGAAGAGGAGCATCAGCATTGCATTTTTTATGCCAGAAAGCAGGTGAAAGTCATGATTCTGAAGGTACTAAGATTTATTTTCCAGTTAATTTTAATAATTAATAAGATAAAACAAGTTTCTCTTCTGCTGTTCAATTCTAGCTCCCTCATTATTGTTCACAGAGTACAACATAAACTGCAGTATATGGATGTACACTATATAAATGTTCATAAATACTTCTATTAAATACATTCCATGTTTATTCTTCATTAATAAAACAATGGATTCTGAAATCCTGCTTCTGGTGTGATAAGTCTGTTCATCTGGTTTATATACATTTTTATCATGTTATAATGTCTGATCTGTTTATGCTAAGAGTAGAAAATTTCCCAAATGTTGTAGTGCTGTCATTTCTGCTAATGGTGACAAATACTAGGAGTTGTAGCTCTGCAAGATCTGGAAAGTTATAAATGCCACACTCCAGATTTATATACATATATATTCATTGCATGTACTTAAGTGAAACACGTATATGCAGAATTCTGTGACAGTGAACCACATGCATGAAAGATTCACAGATTGCCCTAAGCCATGAGTTACTGAAGAAATTATAGTTGGCTAGATTCACACAAAATTAGGCAACCTACTTTAGTATTTAGGGTACAGATTTGGCTAAATAGATTGTACCATACTAACTGCTATATAAAAATAATCACTATTCCTGTTAGAGATACATTGGGAGACAGAGTTTCTCAGGACAGAAATGTTGCAAATGTAAATAACCAGCTGTTAGAGTATGAAAAGCATAAATTAGCAGAAAATGTTCATATTAGCGAATGGAAAAGGGCACTGAGTAAAATAAACAGATGAATACTTTAACTATCAGAAGACAACCATTTTGAATTGCTTCAGTTCTTGATAACAATAAATTTTAGATGTGCCATGTTGACTATTAGAGAAGCTTCAGCCTGATAACTTCAGTGGGCAGTGGTCAATTCCATAATACCCAACGTAGTTTTCTTCAACATAGTGTTCTCCAGATGGGCTGTTGTGCAGTTTTCATAACTATTGGCCATGCTTCCTATAATTCATTGGAGTTATAATCCAATATTGCCGTATGTGGGGAAACTACATGCTAAAGGATTTTTGTGACATAAGCTTGGTGGGTGTGTTGGCAAACAAAAAGTGCTGAGGATTAACAAGTTATAATTTATTGAGCTACACATAGTCCTCCACTTACAACTACAATAGGGACCGGAAAATTCATTAAGTGCTATGGTTGTTAAGCAAGGCATCACGTGACCACATCCGATTTTACGTTTTTTGCAGTGGTCATTAAGCGAATCACCATGGTTGTTAAGTAAATCATGGTCATTAAGCAAGCCACGTAGTTCCCCATTGGTTTTGCTTGTTGGAAGCTGGCTAGGAAGGTTGTAAATGGCGATCGTATGACCCCAGTATGCTGTAACCATCATAAATACATGCCAGTTACCAAACACCCATATTTTGATCATGTGACCATGGGGACGCTGTGATGGTTGTAAGTATGAGGACCGATCATAAGTCACTTTTTCAGCAACGTTGTAACTTTGAGTGGTCACTGTCAGGTTTAGCCCAAAGAACTCCAAGAGACTATGCAAATTCAGTTCTACTGTGTTTATTAGCTACAACCTCTAGACAGAAATCTCCCCAGACGAAAACCAACCCCCCAAGCCAGCCAGCCACAACACCGTGAATTCCTCAGGGAGGTGCCAGCCTCATCCTCTTGAACTT